AGGATGACTTACCCGACTCACCATATGATTTATGGGTGAGGCAAGATCAATCAATACAACATGCAATTTTGACTTCAGTGTCAGAATCCATTCACTCGTATGTCTCTAGTGCTGAGACGTCACATGAAGGTTGGGTGATTCTTAAAAGGCTTTATGCAAATAGCTCTCACACAAGAATAAATGCATTGAAAGAGAGGCTACAAAACCTTCGATGTGAAGGCCGAGCAGTAGCAGAATATCTTCGCACCGCAAAAATTTTGATTGATCGGATTGGAAACGCAGAAAAGGTACCCCTAAGCAACTGTGATATTCAAGTTTATCTTCTTAATGGTTTGGGACATGAATATAGTGAATTCAAGGCTTTAATTCGAGCCCGTGATGGACCCCCACAGTCATTCGAAGATTTACATGACAGACTTTTAGCTCATGAAGAGTCCTTACAAAGAGAGGAAGCCCCTGTCAATGATAATAATACACCCATTACAGCACAATTTGCTTCTGTGCATCCTCGCATAGTTGGGAACCACAACAGCTATGGTGGCTTCAGTGACCGAAATTCAGTAGGTGGTTATCAGAATTTTAAAGGACTCCAGGAATACTCAAATCGATCTTATCAACCCAATTATGGCACCAACCAATATGTTCCAATGGGCCGTGGAGGAGGCCGAGGACACCGTGGAGCTCGAGGAGGAAAAAATAATCGGAATTCCTTCAATAGGTATAATAATCGCAATACTAATGCCTATCAATTGTGCAACAATTTTGGACATTTTTCTAGGGACTGTCAAGAGCTCAAAAATCACGCCCATGTTGCCAACTTTGCTACAACTTCCACTTCGAAAAAGGGTGATTGGTGGATAGATTCTGGAGCCTCTGATCATGTTACTCTTGACTTGGCAAACTTGGCACTTCACTCAGAATATGACGGGCTTGATGAACTGCTAATTGGTGATGGATCAGGTTTGACTATTTCACACGTGGGTCACACCACACTTCCAACCAACACTAAGCCTTTAACCTTAAAAAATGTTCTGTGTGTACCTTATGCCTCGCGTAACTTGATTTCTATTTCCAAATTATGTCGCAATAATAATGTGTTGATTGAGTTTCACTCTGAGTATTTTCTTGTGAAGGATCGCACTACGGGGGTGACGCTTCTTCGAGGGCCCAATCAACATGACGTGTACCGGCTACCAACTCAAAGTCCAATTAAATCAAATCCAATGGCAATAATTGGTGAAAAAACGTCCATCATGGATTGGCATGCAAGATTGGGACATCCTTCGTAAAAAAACTCTGCATAAAATTATTAGAAGTGCTACTCTGCCGCTCTCTAATAAATCTAGGTCTTCCTTATGTGAGTCATGTTTATGTGCCAAAAGTCATAAGTTGCCTTTTGAAGCATCTTCTATTTCAAGTAGTAAACCTTTGGAAATAATATTTTCAGATGTTTGGGGCCTAGCTCCTTTAATGTCTTTTGATGGTTTCCTTTACTATGTGATTTTTGTAGATTTATTTAGTCGGTACATTTGGATCTTTCCTATCAAAAGAAAATCTGAAGTTGCCTTAAATTTTCAAAAATTTTGCACTCTTGTCGAAAATCAATTTGGAACCACAATTAAATCCTTTTATTCTGATGGTGGTGGGGAATATCTTGCCTTACGTGATTTTTTCCAAAAAAATGGTATATCACACTTTATTACCCCCCCTTATACACCCAAACTAAATGGGATTAGTGAACATAGGAATCGTCACATTGTTGAAACCGGTCTAGCTCTCTTACAAGTTGCATCCCTTCCGCCACGATTTTGGAGTCATGCTTTTACAACTGCTGTGTATCTCATTAATCATCTACCCGGACCTACTTCCACCTCCCCTTTTAAAAAATTATTTCATGTCAAACCTAATTACCTTAAGCTTCGAGTTTTTGGCTGCACCTGTTATCCATGGTTGCGCCCATACAACTCCAATAAACTCCAACCTCGCTCTCGGAAATGTGTTTTTCTCGGGTACTCTATTGATCACCTTGGGTATAAATGTTTTGATCCTTCTACTGGCAAAATTTTTATTTCTTGGCATGTTGTTTTCAATGAGCATGACTTCCTTTTCCACAAGCCACCTCCCCTTGCAGCCGGTACCACCGTGTCTCAGGCTCGTCCTCAAGCAGCAACCCCCAGTGTGTCCTCCTCGGAAATTAATCAGGTATGCTCCCTCAACTCTTCCTCCAGTTCTCATTCGGCCCATGCCCTTACCTCTTCACCCATTATTTTACCGGCCCACCGCTCCACAACCCCACCAGTTCCACATTGTTCTCCCTTGCGGTCAAGTGCCCAATCATCTCCACCCACCAAGCTTGACACAAACTCTGGGTCTCACCAACCTACATCCACCTTGTCTTCATCTCCTGCCACAAGCTCACAACTTATGCCCAGCAATGCTACCTCGCTTTCTCCCTCTTCCAATGCCACCACCGACTCATCTCCAACCCCACAGCCACCACCTGTACCCTCCTGCACCCATGGCATGATCACTAGGTCTCAAAATAATATTTTTAAACCCAAGACCCTATTCACTATGACTAAACACCCAATTGATCCCCCTCTAGAACCCACTTGTGTTAGTCAAGCCTTGAAACATCATCATTGGCATCAAGCTATGTCTGATGAGTTTAATGCCTTGGTAAGATAGGGTACGTGGGAGTTAGTTCCCCCTAGTAACCATCAAAATGTCATTGGCTGCAAGTGGGTATTTCGAATTAAACATAACAACAAAGGGAGAGTGGAAAGGTATAAAGCTCGTCTTGTGGCCAAAGGGTTTCATCAACGACATGGTTCTGATTACTTTCATACTTTCAGCCCTGTTATTAAACCTATTACTATCAAAATTGTGCTTTCTATGGCACTTAATCAGAATTGGCCCATTCGTCAACTTGATGTCCACAATGCTTTTCTCCATGGGAAGCCCGAAGAAGAACTATTTATGGCCCAACCACCTGGGTTTGTTGATGCTAGCTTACCCCAGCATGTTTGTAGGCTTTGGAAATCTAGATATGGTCTAAAACAGGCCCCTCGCACCTGGTTTAAAGAGTTGAAGATGTTTCTGCTTTCTCATGGGTTCTAGAATTCTAGATCAGATACCTCTCTTTTTATATATCATCGTGGCTCCGATTGCCTATATTGTTTGGTTTATGTTGATGATATTATTGTGACTGGCAGCAACCCGAAGTTAGTTGATTCGTTAATCAAGTTGATGGGGAACACCTTTTCTATTAAAGATCTTGGTGCTCTTAATTATTTCTTGGGTGTTAATGCCATTTTCACTCCTGCAGGCCTTTTTCTTTCACAAGCTCAGTACATTCGTGATTTATTGGATGAATTTGGTATGGCTGAGGCTAAACCGGTTTCCTCCCCAATGGCTACTGCTGCACTTCAGTTGTACCAAGGTCTCAAACTTTTAGATCCTTCTTCATATTGAAGTATAGTGGGCTCTTTGCAATATCTTAATCTCACTCGGCTGGATGTTACCTTTGGTGTCAATTGTCTTTCCCAGTTCCTTCATGCCCCATTTGATGTGCATATGCAGGCTGCCAAGCGTATCTTATGCCTTTCATGGACTTTTACTCCGCCGACAACCTCTGTCTCCTCTTCATGCCTTTTCTGATTCTGATTGGGCTGGTGACAAGGATACCCTTCAGTCTACCACTAGCTTCATTGTGTTCTTGGGCAGCACTCTAATTTCTTGGAAGGCTTGTAAACAAAAGGCTGTTGCTCGTAGTTCAACTGAGGCGGAGTATCGTGCATTAGCTGCTGCTTCCTCTGAGGTCATTTGGGTCTGTAATATTCTCCGCGAACTGGGTCATCCTATCTCTTCTTCGCCTGCCATATACTGTGATCATATTGGTGCCACTCATCTTAGCAGCAATCTCGTAATGCATACTCGCATGAAGCACATTGCCATTGATCTTCATTTTGTGCGTGCATTAGTGGATTGAAAGCTGTTGCGGGTCAGTCACATCTCCACTGTTGACCAGCTTGCTGATGGGCTGACTAAACCTTTATCTTCAGCCCGCTTCTCTCAATTGAAATCCAAGATTGGAGTTACTGATGGTAGCTCCATCTTGCGGGGGCGTATCACGGCAACAAATTCGGTCATCAATTCCAGCAATCCTCGCTCGTGAATTACGGCAACACAATCCCCGCTCGTGAATGACAGCAACAAGACTCAATCTTGGCAACTATATAT